ATCAGCCCAAATGAAAAATATTATATTTAGGAAGATCAGTGAGGATACACTGGGGTAGATCATGTCTGAGTTGGAACAATAAATATTTTTCAAAAGGTTTCAAACTGCCTTGAAAACGGCTGTCTACTAGCCAATGAAGTCTTGAATTAAGAATTCAGGAATGTGTTTAGCAGAAACTTTAGCCAAAAAGCCAACCCTTTCATGTCCAGACTTCACAAACCTTACATAAATTTGATTTTATCTAGTCCATACATGGTTTATTCCCAAAGCCAATGACGGACTATAACATGATTTAATCCTGCAGATCATTTTATCTTTGAGCCAATTATTACTAACACAGAACAGATCCTATTTAATTCATATGTGAATTCATTTGAATGTGGTTTATTTTATTTTGGATCAATGCCAATAAATGAACAACAAAATCATTTGTTAAACTTGCTCAGAATTATCCTGCCCACCCACCGCCAAATCTTCTTCAAAAGACAGGTCCGTGGAGGAGACTACTTTGAAAAATGTGGCTGTAGACCTCCACTCCCTCAAAAAGCCATGCTAGTAAATCTCACTGTCATACTTCTCTTCTCCTTGCACAAAATGTGAAGTGTGGGGAAAGGACAGAGAAGAAGGAAGGGAATAGAATATGCTGGAGTGGGAAGGAGTCCTTGTGTTTATGGTATATTACAGTCTGCAGTAGGAGAAGGCAAAACATTGCTTGTGGGGACCAATGGACCTGCAGATACATCCTTTTTGTACCTGCCAGGGTACCTAGACATATTTAAAAAGACAGGGTGCTAGTACACCACAAGGCAGAGCTTTACCCAGTAACGTCAAATTTGTTCACCATACTTCATCTAGATACAGTATATGTTTTCTTAGAAATTAAAAAAAAAAATGGTGGTTAGCTGCAGCACAGTGATTTTTTTTTTTTCAGTGAATTATCCATGGAAGATAAACTAGAGTGAAAGAAGACATTTGGTGGAGGCTAAAAGATGTGGCGAGGGTTATACAGTTATTCTGGCATACAGTTCTTTTGCCGTGATAGTCATTTAGAAGGGCACCCATTACCAGAAGGTTATTTTTACTTTTTTTTTTCCTGGCCAGGAATGGACACATTTCTAAACAAAACACTAAGTGGCCAGCCAGTTCCTCCATTACTTACCTTCTTCCGAAGTAGAAACATCTATGATCTTAACATATCATCCTGGAAATTTTAAGACTTGACATCCCCCACGATGCCAATTCTATATCTGTACCTCCCTCTCTTATTAACACAATATCCCATGAGAAGCAAACATATTCTCTACCCCCAACTCCTTATCAGCAAATCAAAGTAAAGCAAAGAGAGTTTGTTTGGGTTACTTTCCTCCTCATGAGTTCATGCAGCTGGAAGAATCCTTGACTATTCACCACCAAAGCTCAGCCAACTGCTGGCTTGTCATGCTAAGCTACCATATGTTTTTAACTCATCCTCTTTTGTGTTAAACTGTTTTGATATTATTTTTAAATATATTTCTATTGCTCTTTTTAAAACAGGGTGTTTTTATTGAGGATGTATAAAGAACAAACATTTTAGAACTGGGAAAACCCAGGTAAAAGCCTCACTCATTCCCCAAGTTTACTGAGCAGCTTTGTCATTGGCTGTACTCACCCAACATGCTAACCATAGTTAACTGTTCTGAACAAAATAATGGTTTTAGATTATAGGGAGGACAACAGTTTGTTGATTTATCCTAAGAGCCTGGGTTCATCCAACACTCCAAACCATAACTGACCATGGATGTGCTGATACAACAGATGAGACACTAATTATCAATTGCATCTTAACTCAGTCACTGTCTCTCCATACTTCACGGTAAAACTGGGAGATTAGGGAAAACGTGGAAATAATAACAACAGCAGCATCTTTTGGACAGCAAGAAACCCCCCAATATCTACCTAAAATGTGAAGGGAGGGTGGAGGAATGGCAAAATACAATATGTATGCATGAAGTCACTGGAAGCTGAGTTCAGCTAAAGGAAACTACAGTGGTACCTCGGGTCACGAACTTAATTCGTTCCACAACTCTGGCCGCGACCTCAATTGGTTGCGATCTGAATCAAATTTTCCCATAAGGTTCAATGTAAATACGGTTAATCCATTCTGAACCATATGTATTTTTTTTTAAAACCACAAAAATATGAAACGAAGTACAGTACAGTATGAAGAGAGAGAACGCTAACCTTGCTTGAGGAGACTTCTGGTGTGGAGGACAGGAAGGCGGGTGGGGAGGCGGTTATTGTTTGGAGGGAAAGTCCCCCTCCCTACAGGAAGCCACAACCACGTGTCACAACAGGGAAAATGGCCACAGATCCTGTTCGTCACCCGATGTGGAGTTTGCGAACGGAAGCAAAATTTTGCGAATGGTGCTGTTCGTGAACCGAATTGTTCGTGAACAGAAGCGTTCGAGTTTGCGAACGGAAGCAAAATTTTGCGAATGGTGCTGTTCGTGAACCGAATTGTTCGTGAACAGAAGCGTTCGAGTTTGCGAACGGAAGCAAAATTTTGCGAATGGTGCTGTTCGTGAACCGAATTGTTCGTGAACAGAAGCGTTCGTGAACCGAGGTACCACTGTACTTTGATGAGGAGGAGGAGGAGAAGGAGAAGGAGAAGGAGGAGTAAGAGGATCTGGCTGTTGTTTTGGCCAAAGAAAATATCCAAAATCTACATTAAATGGGGAAGGAGGCATGGAGTAATTGTATTATACCACTACTGGTATAGCCCACCCAGAGTTGCTAGAAGTCAGGTGATATATGAATTTAATAAATATTATTATTATTATTATTATTATTAGTAATAATGCTGAGGGCTACTTTGGTCTAGTAGTTAAGGTGTGGTCTTTGAGCAGAGATATCCGAATTCTAGTCCTGCCTTAGCCATGAATTCAGCTGTGTGACTTTGGGCCGGTCTCCCTCTCCAGCCCTAGGAAGAAGCGATGACCACGTCCAAAAATACTGCCAAGAAAACTGCAGGGACTTGTCTTTGCAGTCACAAGCAATCAAGGCTGACTCAAAGGCACAAAGTAATAATAATACTGATCTTGTGCAAAAGTCTATAATACAAAAGTCTATTTAACAACTGCATCACAGGGGAGGGTGTGTGGAGTAAACATATGACATCCTAAGGTAGCTGTTGTTTTGATCACCAGGAAAAATCCCAACTCTTATCTGACCATTATCCAATGGTCAAGGATAATGACCAGCCAGTTTGGTGTATTGGTTAAGGCACCAGGCTAGAAACTGGGAGACTATGAGTTCTAGTCCTGCCTCAGGCACGAAGCCAGCTGGGCGACCTTGGGCCAGTCACTCTCTCTCAGCCCTAGGAAGCAGGCAATGGCAACCACTTCCAAAACCTTGTCAAGAAAACTGCAGGGGCTTGTCCAGGCAGTCGCCAGGAGTCTAAACTGATTTAAAGGCACCCCCCCCCCAAAAAAATATCCTGAGCACCTCTGAACAGTCACAGAAAGCCCTAAGGGGGGGGAACGGGGGACACGAGGGAGGGGCCAGAAACTAAAAGTGCATCTTCTGCAGTCCACCGCCCCTACTGATGAAACATGGAATTCTGGGAGTTGGAGTCTCCGTCAATCAGGAAAGCAGGCCTGGGGAAGTCCCTTCTCCCTCTCCCTCCCCTTCCCTCTTCGAAGCTCCGCCCCTTCAGCGTGGGGCTTGGTTGCCGTGGCGACGAAAGCGGCGTTGCCGGTTGCTAAGATGGCGTTGCGGCGGCCGCGCGGCCA